GAATGATTCAGTAACCGGACGGTAGCTTTAATTTAATGCTACAAATATTCAAGCAGGGCGAGGGGATCAATTATGTATGGCAGATCAGTTTGTTGGGGTGAGAGATTCTTCTGCCATCTTTAGCAGAAAACGATATTTCCTGTTTTCTTATGACAAATGTTGTGTAATTTTTTGTCTGTTTTTTTTTTTTTTTCAGTCCCTTTTCAAAATTTGTTTTTTTAAGAATTTTTGTTGATCCAATCGCGACAGAAGCAAAATCTCCCAACAAGTAGACCATTGGCCTACATTTTTCATGTAGTTTTGTTGCGCAATTTTCACATCCATGGAGTTTTCGCCTCAAGTCAACACACATCTCCATCGGGGCAGTCTCTAGAAATTTTGAGGCCCGAGACAAATATTTTCCTTTTCGTATTTCTCGATTTGAACGTGTGTGGTAATTAGGGTTATATTTAGTTATAATTATAGAAACTTACCAAAACAAAACTATTAAATAAATAATTGGAAAAAAAAAAAAGAAAAAAGATTTTTCTAGTTTTTCCATACCATGGAACTGATAAATTACATTGAAGCACTCATAAGGACACCAAGGAGAAGAAAATAAGAACCATATCAGTGCAAAAAATATTTATTTTCATACAACTTTTCTGATCTAAATCATAAAAAAAACAAATCAAATATTTTGAGTCTCAAATTTCCATACCCATTTTGCTATTAGTCCCTCCATTAATTAGCCCTTCCGTCTGTGTAATGGGTCGAATTCATATTTAATCATTAACTCCTTTATTTGTGTAAATAGGCTATGCCCATCGCAAATACATAAAAAAAAAAAAAAAATGAGGCCCTAAATGGAGCCCCTAGTGATGAGCCTAGTTTGCTTTCCCAAACAGCCAGCTCCATGGTCTGTGTCGAGAATACTAGGGCTGTTATCGAACTGAATCGAACCGAGCTTAAGGTGTTCGAGCTCGAGTTCGACTAATTTTCGAACATGTTCGTGTTCGTTCGTTTAGAAAACGAACAAAAAATTTAGTTCGTGTTCGTTCAATTGATTCGAAAATTTTGTGTTCGTTCGTTTATCTAGTCGAACTTGTTCGTGAACTGTTCGAATTGTTCGACATGGTCGTGTTCGAAATGTTCGACATGCTCGTGTTCGTGTTTTTTAACTTTTTTTTTAATTTTAATGTCATACAAGTTATTTTATTTAATATTTAATATATATTCATATTTATATATTATACTATATATGTATATACTATATATAATATATAAAATTATAAAATAATTTTTTGTCCGCGAACGCTCGTTTAGTTAGTTTCGCGAACCTGTTTGTGTTTGTTCGATAACTAAACGAGTGTAATTTTATGTTCGTGTTCTTTCGAATGCTAAACAAACGAGCTTTTATCGAATACAAAGGAACACAAACGAGTTTTCTTCGCGAATGTTCGGTTCGAAAAACAGCCCTAGTGAATAGTATGGAATTAGCCAAAACATAAAAATAGACTCCTCTTTTTATTTTGGGACTGTAAGAGTTAGTGAGCTCTTCTCTAGATTGTATTCTTATTATTTTTTTTGTCGTTTGGAAAAAAAAAATAATAAATAAAAGGAAATAGGAAGATAGTGCTTGTACTTTACCATTCACAGCACTACAACAGAGATCAGATAAAGTTGGAATCATTGATATTTAACTGAGACACATATTACCTGTTGGTGTTGTGGGGTGGGCACAGATGTAACGTTTGTACCTGAGAAGTGCAAAGTGCAATTGTCTTTCAAACATCTACTTGAATTCGTGGGCCACAACACACAATTGTTTAAGACAGTGTCCTTATAGATTATACACACGAGAAAAAGGCTTCTATGGTGTCAATAGATCGCCAAATAACTACTATGATGATCTAGATATGAACGCTTCTGTGTTGGTTTGTGCTCCTAAGCTCGATGGCAATGTCCGTTTGCAGGCGATTATCGGGTCGTTGGGTCTGCTGTGGTGGTTGTGGCCGCTTCGAGGATGATTGAAATGGGGGAAGACCTTATTTTATTTTACCAACTTTATGTTCTTTTTTAATCCCCATTTGTGGAGTGTTTTGTCTCACTTGTTTTTTAGTCTTTTATAGGCTTTATTATCTATGTGGACAGGGATTCTTATGTTAAGGAATTCGCCCGTTCATTTTTTTTTCTGTTTATTGACAGTTAGAATGATCCTTTTGTAACCAGTTAGTTGTACTTTCGTTGGTGTTTATACTGAAAGCTTGCTTTAGATATTATTTATACTATTTCTGTTGAATGAGATTTATGCTTGATTAAACAAGTTCTATGTTCTGTTATTTTGCAGTTAAATAAAATGGTTCATCACGGGTTGACAGAAGATCATTTTATTAGCCACTTGCGAAACAAGAATAGTTAATTCACAACCTAGAAACAAATGAACAAACTATCGGAACAGTTGTGGTATCAACCGTTTGTTAGTCTTGACTGATTAGTTACACTAGTACATTTATGTATTGAACAAGATCCCAGAAATGAGCATTTAACTTTATACGGATCGTTGTTAACGAACTAGGCCTCGTTAATCACTGCGTTCTCTTAACCCGTAAGATATAAACATGCATGTGAACGCAGTAGTTATTACTTTGATTCACCAAAAGCGAGATCCATTATGTTGGGTCAATAGTCTACGTGTTTTGGGTAATAGTGTTGTGTGTATGATGTGTTGTTAGAATATTTACGGTCACCATGTCCGTTAGTTTGATGATGTACCCGAATGAGCTCATTAAGGATTATTATGTTAACTTGCATGCGGATTAAGTTTTGACATATTTACGGGCTGAAGTAGGCTTCATGGTCTTGGAGCATGCGTTTTGACGAGATTTTCCAGTCGTATAGATATACCCAATGTCCGGATGAGTGTTTCTTGTATAAGACGAGTGACCAAAATGTGGTGATGTTTCTCGTGCTATATGTAGACGACTTATTCTTCATTGAAAACAGTGTGAAGGAGTTGTCAGGCGTGAAGGTATGGTTGTTCAAGCAGTTTGATATGAAGGACTTGGGAGAAGTGAGACACGTCGGTATCAAGGTCATTCGTGATTCTTTCAAATGTACAATCAACGAAGTCGGGACTCAAATCAAACAAGCGCAAAGACTCTTCTGCCACAAGCTTCTTCCAATAACAATCCTTGTGATTAATTGGATAATAAATTCTTCTCCGAGCTGGGGGGAGGATTCCTTTGCTACAAAAATTACAAACTGACCTGTTAGTACAAAACAAAACAAAAATTAGGGACAAGAGAAGGAAAATCAGAACAAATGAGACTCACACAATTCGACAATAAATTTTGTTGGGATTGTCATAAAGACTTGATTGTATCCGTCCTTTGTGAATCCCGTGATCTTTCAATCACCCTCGACCCAAAACCACTCCTTCTGAAAGTCGTGGAGCATGTCAGGGATCCGATGGAATTGCTTTTTGCATGCTCCTTTCCTGATCGAGCAATAAAAATAGCCCGAATTTTTACGAGTTCCCTTGAAAAGTAACATGCCCCGTATCTCTTCGACCGTGGGAACCGTCCACTCTTCCTGGCCGAGTAGAATAAGCTGAGTGAATACCATAGCCCAGACGTTCGATGTAATTTAACTAAAATTGAGCCCCAATCATTGAGGTAATATGTCATAATCTTAGGAAGGAGGAACTTTATAAGAAAATCTTGCTCTGCTTGAAAACCCCTATTCAGTCTTTGGGCGTGCAATGAATCCTCTTCCCGGGATAAAGGGCGAGCATGTGAACAATCGACGAAAATAGTCGATCAGAGTTTGACTATGTTTTCGTCTTTCATGATACTACTTGTATTGACGAGCGTAAAAAAAACTAGTGTTGGGCCACTGACGCGGCGAGCTCTACCAGAAACCATTGGAGGCAGAGGTGGCCCGGAGCCCTAATCATTCTGAAGGTGTCATCACTCATGGTTTCCTCCACCAGTCAACAGGTCATAGTCATCGGACGACGACGACGAAGCCATAGAAGAAATAAGGAAGATCAAAAGAAGCAAAAGAAAGGAATCTTATCGGCGATCAGAGGAAAATCGGAGAAAGTGGTTTTTTGCTTGTATTCTTGGAGTTATAAATTAAAAAAAAAAAGGAAGATGATTCAAAAAGGGTACAAATAACAGAAGGGAAAATTATATATATATATATATATATATGAAAGAAACATCGACCAATGGGATAGCACCATGTGGTGAGAAACAAGTCATTTCAAAAGGGGAAGTTAAAAGGTGTGGCTAATTGTGTAACATGTCATCCCAAGGGAGGCGACAAGAACGTCTTTTGAGATAAACAACCACATCTGCACACGCCTCATTAATGATGGACACTTCAATTGCCCGAGTTAATCTTTAGGGATGTGTAAAGTCTCGACAAATGCGTGAGCAATCAATGCAGGCCTATGTCAACTCGGACATCCCTCAAAATAATAACTTCATAAGCATCGTCAAGCTCCGCCCCATATGAGCATGTGAGTCTGTATGTTGACATCCAAGCCAAATGCAGATCCCGATGTGAATATTTCCATCTTGGAAAAAGAAAGTTCGGGTTGAAGAACTCGATTAGGGAACTAAGGGCTTGCAACCGAGCAGAGAACCATTAGAATAGAGTGGATCAAATAGACTCCCTTTGATCTGATTCCAGCGTATCAGCCTAGA